TCCATTGATAAACTGATGTATATTTTGATGGCATAATTGTGGCACTTCTACCGGTGTCTCAATGGGTGTATTGTGTCCTAACCCGAGCTGACCCAACCAATTAGATCCCAAGCCATACACCATATCATCAAACGTAACAAACAGTATGTTTTGTCCCTTTCTGTCATCGAAAACAAAATAGAATTTGATGAATTGTTTTAAATCTTCGGGTATTTGATCACAAATTTTATAATTATTTATAACGGAAGCCATAATAATAACAAATATGAAACAATTATTAATGTGATTTATTCACAAAATGATTGTTGTATTGACTTAATGCAATAAACTAGTTTTTATTATAAAATTGATTAAAACAAAAAATTTTCAATTATAAAATTAGTTTTAAAAAATTAAGATACAATATATATTTACAGAATAAATAGATAATAGATAATAGATAGTACTCAAATATGTTATTTAAAATCAGAATTATTACAGAAATATAAGCAATAATTATTTGATAAAATGGTGAAATAGTTATATAATTATAAATAGTTATATAAATAGTTATACTTTAATTGACAAACGTATATCAACTCTATTATAGTGTAAATACTATCACATAAAACACATTCATAACTGTATTATTGAGACAAACAATTGACTGATTATTGCTAAGCATTTTCCAATTATGTGAATATTTTTTGATTAAAAATCAATTGACTGTTATATTGCATATATTTGATTACGGATCATTTAGTGACAATTATAAATGATTATGATAAAATTACAGTAGTAGTTAAAAATTGTATTCATTTAAACATTAAAATTTAATTTTTGAATAAAGTTTCTAATTTGTATATTTACAGAAATTTGTATATTTATTGATAAGTAATTTTTAATGCATAAAATTTAATATATTAAATAAGGGGTATTCATTTACTGTACTGTAAAGTAATACTTTATAATAGTTACACCCAATTGTAAACTAATTATATTTGATACGAGTATATCATACAAACAATTGTGACATGTTTTGCGACAAACAAATGATATGATTATTGCTAAACAACTAATTATTGCATTTACGGTCATATAAATAGTTTGAGGTCTTTACAGGTATTACTTGAATCATATTTTGTTGTATTGCTGTACAATATATGTTAACAAATAATCGTAATGACAATCGTTTGTGTAAATACTGAACGCATTTTAATAATTATCTAAAAGTCATAGATCTTTGTATTGATTTTGTGAACACAATAGCATTATATGAATAGCTATCAAATGTTATCAGATTTTCAAAATGACCAATTCAAATTTTACATTCAATTTTAAAATTAAATATATAAATGCTATCAGGCTAATAATGTTTGTAATGTAGTTTTTAATGACTATATGAATGATATGCTTTTGATGCAAATATTGCACGCATTCTGTGAGTCTATGAAACATTTGATACGATATATAAAACTCAGAAATAATCATTAATTCATTAAACAATGATTTCTTAGGACATGCTTAATAAATTTTATTGTGAACTACTGTATAATTACAATTGTGAACTAGTATGTTTGGTGTAAATTATGAACGCATTTTAATGCTTATCCAGTTGATCCAGATCATATGAAATTAATTGAATCTCATCGTCTGAACACAATTTCATTTGAATGAATATCTCATTATCTTCCATCCATGAGTTAAGCTCGTTTGTAATCACATATTTAGACAATGCATCAAGGTACTTTCGCAAATCAGGCAATAACTTATTCATTTGCGACATATCTTCAACATCTGGAATAGTTTTTAAAATAGGAAAATATATTTTTTAAAAGTTGTGTCAATTAATTGAAGCCAGAAATATGTAAATCTGAACAATATTTTCAATTCTGCTTTAATTTGTCTATAATATCGCTAAATAGCATTTATAATGGTATTAAGCAGAGTCGAAAAGGATTATCAATGAATACATACACATTATATGATAACCAGAACAATGAATGTAGCTTAATTCTTGAAGCGTTCTAATTTGATAACAGTATAACGAATTCATTTGTTGAGAAATTTTATGTTTAACTAAATGTATGTCATATCTTTGCCCACAAAATTGTTTCTCAATTTTTTCAAACATTGATTTGTTAATTGCGTTCATGTCGGTTGTATCTAGAAACAAACGAAAATGTCCAAGTTTCCACTTTTAAGTAAAATTTAAATATCAATATCTAACCATTAGTTATATTTCCATTAGTCATATGTATTATACAAAAGGGTTTGCTTTAAATAAATAGTTCTTGAAATATATCACATTTTCTGTCAATTATAGCATCAAAATATAATTTGAATTCATTTTTTCCAATAATGGGTTTATTTGTGATAAATGTCTGCAATTGTGATAAAATGTGCGAACATTCGGGTCTTTGCCTCCAATCTGTTGAACCGTTTTGTGAATCTTTATTGACAGACATTGACACCAATAATGCATTCATTTTATCCATCAATTCATTCATATTTTTATTATATTTTTCAATCAAATTATTCCTAAAACTCGTAAAATTATTATTTACATTAATTTATAGTCAATTTAATTAAGAAATATATACAAATGAAATCATACTTTCCGACAATAATATCGTTTGTATCGAAACCAAAAATTTGAGCCCCAATTAGGGATAGACTGTAGATATCTATTAAATGATTATATGAACTAGTCTGAGCTTCCGGTGCCATATAGTCAACATTTCCCACATCTGCCGTATGTTTGGCTTTAGACACATTAAACGGATCACAATTTAGGACCTCTTTAGCCAAACCAAAGTCACATAACTTCATACACCCATAACGTGTAATCAACACATTATCCGGTTTGAGGTCTCTATGAATGATATGATTTGTAAAACACTTATTAACTAATATAACTAATTAATGTGAATATTTATTTAAAAACTTTATTTACAATATCTACACATTTATTGTATAAAGTTTATACTATAAACACAGATAAGCTACTTATTTATTTAGTTATTAATCATTTAACTTATTTGTGTTGTGTAACATAACTAATTTGAATCACATACTTTTAGATAACAAATATGATTACAGTTAACAAGTTAGATATACTGTATTTAAATATCAATTAATTCTATTGTTTTGATTGAGCATTACAAATGCACACACCTAAAATGGACACTTTATAAATAACTCGATTACGTAAGAATTAACTCAATGACAGTTATGTTAAATATAAATCGTTGCGCGACCTTGGTTACATAACGTGTTAGTTTTGCTCCTGTATTATGTACACGATTTTTAACATGTAAACACACAAATGACACAATTATAACTAATAATACAGTTAAGTGATTAATAATAAGTGAATTATAATTATATTGTAGTATATACGGTAGCTTATTATAATATTAATGGTTTTATTTTAATGCTAATTTTGAGACACAAAAGTTAATGAATTAATAGACTTAACGGAAACTAATTTTCCCATCTATTTGTTAAATAAAGTCCTTAATTAACTTGATAATTGATAAATGGAAATTATGTTATACTTTAATTATTAGTAAATTAAATGAATGAATATCATACGAATGAATCCTCAGAAATTAAGCTTGTTCGTTAACTTATAATGCTTTTAATATTTTGTTGTTTACGACTAAAAATTTAAAATATTAAAAATTTTACTGTTTAAAGTCTCCATTGTATTGCAATATATTTTATTAAGCTATAAATAAGTTTTATAATTAGATTATAAGTATATATTAATATTAATTAATATTGAGAATAAAAAGTGAGTTTTTTGTAAAAATATATTTATTGTACGTTTAAATCCGTATACAAAATGTTAACCAATTGTAAAGCATTTTATATATTAAACAAAAACTTTTAAAGTTTGACCAAAACTTTTCCAGTATTGGAACCGCTGTGAAGATACTAAAAGACAATTCAATGGAAAAAATAAATGAATTCAATGTTTGATAGAAAACCTCATGAAATGAATGCAAACCTTAA